CAACTGCCTGCTTGAAAACACAACGTGGATTCCCAAGGAGGAACTAGATGTGGCAGAACAAGGTGAGTGGCAGAACAAGAACAAATTGCAGAGTCTTGTAATTTGCAAGAGATTTCTGGAGGTTTTTGATGCAACCCCCTGCTATGACATAGCTCTTCTGACGGATGAAGCAGCACTGACATGACAGGCCAGCGTTACTGGCCTTGAACAAGAGGACCAGAAGGAGCTGATGTAGGTTCTCAAATCCAGGGTTATATGCACACAACACTGCAAACTGGTAAAAAAGCTCTTTCCTGCCTTTTTTTTTTTTTTTTCCTGGCAAGAGTCCTTTTCCTCTGTCTCTTCTTGCTGAGGGAACAATTCCCCAGATCAAGACTCTCGGTCACTCCCAAGCTGAGGAGCAGGATGCCGCGGCCTGTGTCCCTCCTCCAAACTCAACCGGTGCCTGCACCTCAGCACGGAGGGGAAGGGCTGCCCTGTCCTGGGCCCTACAGCTTTGGGGTTGCTGTGTCCTTTTGACGGGAAGGGCTCCGGAGACGCTGTTGCGTTTGGCAGCGGGGCGTTGCGGTGGACGAGCGTTGCCCATGACCCCATGGCTGCCGGCCCCCTCCTCCGCGGCCCGTCTCAGCGTGGTGCCCATTGAGGGAGCCTCGTTCCTGCCGTCCCCCTGGCCCCCGCTCATAATGCGGGTCTTGTTGGGCCGCGCGGCGCCGGCGCGCTGGGGTCTGCGCGATGCGTGGTGCCAAATGAGCCCTGACAGATTAGTCTGGCTGTGCCTGGCGGGCTGCTCCCCTCTAATCCTTCCCCATTCTTGTGCTTGACACTAAGTGCCTGCGACGCGGCCGGCCCGGTACGCGCTGCCTGGGTACAGAGAGGTCACTGGTTCTTTTGCCTCCCTCGCCCTCCAAAAACGGGGGTAGGACAGAAAGAAAACGCACGAGTAGCAGCCCGTAAGGAGGGCGTGAGGGCTGCGTTTGGGCTTAGGAAGCTCTGGCTCAGGATGGGTGTCATCTGCAGTCTGTCATCAGAGAGTTTGAGCCAATGGTGCGCTTATATGAGGTGATAGTGTAGTTTGTCCAAAAGACATAATAAAGCCTAGCAGTTTGTATTTCTTATATTTTTTTTTTAAATACAACATTCCAGAAAGTGTTGAGCGTTTGGGGTTTGCTTACAGTAGTCCTTATATCTGCAGTGGCTTCTGTAGCATGGGTATGCAGCTCTATGGCTGGCCATAATCCCCTGAAACTCTGGGAGAAGCTCAGGACTGAAAATGCTGCCCTGGGCTTGGGTTTCGGCTGGCAGCAGGTCCAGCTTCAGACTGAGCTGGCATTGAAGGAACTGGCTCCTCTGCAAGGAGATGAGCTCTCCGGGAACAGATCAGAGCTCGTACGTCCATCTCTCCCAGCATGTTTGTGTGTTAATGTGGTGGTTACCTGAGGGGCTCTATCCGTTCTGTGGTGCCTACTGTGTCACCACGTCTCCGACTCTGTTTGCACCCAGGTCTCATCCAGCCATATTGACCCCATGGTGGCTCCTGAAGAGGAGGGTTTGAGATGAGCTTCTACCACCAGAGTATGTGCCAGGCATTGAACAAATGCTGTATCTGAGAGGGGCAATGGGGGAAGGAGTGAGAGCCCCTGCATCTCCTGCCGATGTTTGGAGGGCAGCAGGTTCAGGATCTGGGCTCGGCAGAGCACAGTGTGCAAGTCTCGAGACTCTTCTAAGATACTCAATCTTCCTGCTGTTTGCTTTCCTTGCAAATTACTTTTCCCTGGGCCTTATGAAAATAACTTGTAGGAAGATGACAGAGAGATCCATGAGGTTTCATCTAGACACTTGGTAGCTGTCTGCTCTGTTGGCTAGAATCACCTCTGCATTGGGGTCTCTCAAGATTCCTGTCCTTTCAAACACAAGCAAGGGAGCAGAAGGGGCATGAAGCTTCAGGCTGAGATCTTGAGTTGAGACAGCGCAAATCTAAAGCTCTTGGGAGACCGGTGAAGGCACCAGGACATGCTGGGAGCAGGACATGGAGAACTTTTTGCCCACACGTTATTCTTAATGTCTAGGCTTCGGCACTGACCTAACTCTTGTGAACTTACAGCTGAGATCTTGAGTTGAGACAGTGCAAATCTAAAGCTCTTGGGAGACAGGTGAAGGCACCAGGAGGTGCTGGGAAGCAGGACAGGGAGAACTTTTTGCCCACAAGTTATTCTTAACGTCTAGGCTTGGGCACTGACCTAACTCTTGTGAACTTACCAAACAGTTCTCATGCTCTCAGTGAAAGTCATGACTTCCCTCAGGTATTCTTGCCACTGACTGTGTTTGCCGTGGGCAGCGTTTTCATGTATAAAATGATGCTTCCTTAATTCTTGGAGGTACAGTTCTTATCCTTCATATTAGCTATTATCTTTAAATTTCCAGTATGCTATTGGATTCTTCAGTTTATTTCTGTTGAAGATGTGGTTTTAGGGGTAGGGCAGGTGCATCCATGACGTAAAATTCCTGGAGAGCTCATGGAACAGAAAATAAATGTTTTGTTACTAAGGCAGAAGCAGAGCATGTAGGTGTCAACAACTGTAGGGTGATGAAGCTATATGCTGAACACAGCGTCTTCCTTGGCCACGAGGAGCTTCCTCAGGCTGTGGAGGGTCTCTGCCATCTCTAAGCTCACACTTGGAAAACTCTCACGCTAGCTAAACACCACAAAGTGAGAAAAGGCTCGTGCTGGGAGTGTGCAGAAGTGTTGAGGTTACGTGCTGGAGACTTAGGAAAGGACTAGGGTTATGAGGGTGCATGTGCTCATAGGTGCTGCAAGGAGAAGGGAAAGCCTGTACAGTCTGCAGGAAATTCTGGATGAGTTGGGACCTTTGTACATGCTTTCACTTGACACACAGAAAGTAACATGCAGTCAAAGCATCCTTGCTTTTATAAGTGCAATTAGATCTTTGAACAGGACATTCATTATTCACCAGACATGTTCACAGAACTTTGTGTATCTGTACTATTCAGTTGAGGGATAAATAATTAATCTACTTGATGAAATTTATGTCAACGGGGAGCTGTGGCACGTATTATGAAACACTGAGTAAAACCATAGTCTCTACTATGGATAAGAAAGTGGAAAATACTTGTTACTGCCTTCTGCAGCTCGCCATCACACCGCTCACCACAACCTCCTGCGCTGTCCAGCCAGGTTCAGCCTGGCTCCTGCCTGCCCAGCTGGCCCTGTCTTCATCAGCTTCTCCCTGTGAGCATCTTTTGTGCCACCCTGTCAAAAGCCTTACTAAGGTTTGCTCCCCTTCACGTCCTGGGTTCTGTCCTGCTGGTGGAATCTGGGGGCTGCGTTTGGTCCCGGTTCTTCACTCCCTGCACAAAGGACTGGCCTTGTCCTCCCAGCTGAGGTGGGTCAGGGATGTTTCTGCTCTTTGTGTGCTTTTCCTCTGGTAGAAATCAGTGCTCACATCTCTCCAGGACTCACAAAGAAGCTCTGTGGCACAGCAGTACTGCAAAGGCCTGGCCAAGGGGGCTTAAATGTTTATGATACCCACAGAAGGCAAAATTCTTTCAAACTGCAGCTTTTATCCCAGTCCGGGCAACGCATCCTTTCTTCTTTTGCCCTGCAGGAGGCAAACGCCACTGCCTGCAACCTCTCGCCGAGAGCCGGCGGCGAGCGGCGCCCTTGCCCTTGCTGCTGCCCTCTCTGGAATACGGGATCCAGCGTTTGGGAGCCCTCTGCAAGGCACCAGAAACTACATAGAGGGAAAACATACATCCTCATTACTGCCTTTCCCATCCTCACTTCCTTCCTTCACTGCCTGCCAGGGACACAAGTGCTGCTGACAAGGGCACCTGCAAGCTGATTTCCACGGGACAAACCACTTCTTCCCCCATATAAATGCCTAGTCCAAGTACTGCAGCCCTTCCTAGCAAGGATGAAGCCAGCATCTCTGTACTCAAAGCAGCTTGCGTGGTGGCAAGTGTCTGGTTTGAAAGGCCACTTTTCTCCAAGTGACCATTTTTCCCCGTTCCTGTCTTACTTTTCCAGGGCAGAACTGCAGTGTGGAGGATGCCACTATCAACTGTCTGGCTGATCTCTGCTCTGTCAGTCAGATTTGCTGCGACAGTTCTGCTGAATTAGCCACCCAAGGGGCTGTGCAGGCCTATTTATAGAGAGACAAAGCCAGGGGAGAGCAGGCTGAAGGCCAGTCTGAGATATCTGCAGTGAAGAGCTGGGCATCTTTAGCCCTGTTTGGGGTTCCTGAATGCTTCTGTGGAAAACACGCTGCTTTGGTAAAGGACAGAAAACTCCCTCATAGGGGAAATCTGTTTGTATGGAAACAACCTCCTGCCTCTGCAGGGTGTGAGTGTTTCCCAGGTTGGCTCAGGAGCCCGTGAGCCAGACAGCCTGATATTCTGGCATGCTGGTTCCTCCCAGGTGAGTGACACGGAGGCTTTTCATGAGGATGAGAAATAAAATTATTTCCAGGAGCATCAGGGAGCCTTCCCTCCTTCACACCCGAAGAAGTTATGTCGTATTCTCAGAATCAGGAATCATAGAGGACAGGATGTCGTCCTCCCTCTCTGACACTGTAGCACTGCAAATTTTAACTGATGTCTCCTCTGGCCTGATAGCTTTGGAGTGGCCTGGGCACTCACTTGCTGCTAGCAAGGCCTGTTTTTAGTACTTGTGATCCAAATCCATCACTCATAATTTTTTGCTTTGCAGGACTGGGCTCTGAGAAATAGTCAAGCCATTAAACTCCTCTGCTGGAGACCTCTGAGGGGAGGGTGGCCACCTCTTGGGCTGCTCTTTGGCTGTGCAGGTCCATCCTTGTCCCGCCCCAGGGCAGTGCAGCGCTGCAAACCTGCCTCGTGCACGAGGCCTGCACGGGACAGCCACACTTCTCCTCCTCGCGGCCCCCATGTCTGCCTGTGCCTGTGGGTTTTCCAAGATCATCTTCT